AAGCACTCTAAATTTGAAATCTGATTCTAAAGTTAATATCAATCCAAGTTATAGTTGGGGGGAAGCATGACCACATAGTTTTAAGTCTGGACATCTGAGATTCAGAGTACGGGGAAAAAAAGAGAGAGAGATAAGCATTTACATATTACCTACATTATTTCATTTGATCCTCACATCAACTCTGAGAGATAGGTGCTATTATTGTCCCCATTTTACAGATGAGGTAACTGAGGCAGATAGAGCTGAAGTGACTTGCCTGGCTTCACACAGCTAGTAAGTATCTGAGACCACATTTGAACTCAGTTCTTCCTGACTCCAGGACCAGTGCTCTATCCACTGTACCACCAGCTTCCTTTAAAAGCAAAGGGCAAGTGGATAGAGTACCAGCCCAGGAGTCAGGACTGGGCAAGTCACTTAACCCAGATTGCCTCACCAAAAAGCAAAAAAAAAGGCAAGGACCAAGGCAAAAAAGAAGAGACATTTGGGAAATTTGGTGTAGTGTGATACAATGAAAAGAGTACTGGATTTGGAATCAGAGGAGACCTGGGTTCAAATCCTGACTCAATCCTCACGATTTGAGACTGCTAAGTGGCACAGTGCACAGTGTGGTGGCCTTGGAATTAAGAAGACATGAGTTCAAATCCTGTCTCTGAAGCTTACTAGCTGTGTGACACTAGGCAAGGCATTTAGCTTCTGTCTGCTTCAGTTTCCTCACCTTAAAATGGGGATAAAAAATAACACCTACATCCCTGGGTTGTTGTGAGCATAAAATGAGATAATATAAGCAAAAGACTTTGTAAACCTTAACATGACATACAAACGCTAGTTATAATAATAATTATTATTACTACTACTACTTCGTGATTTGGGGCATATCAGTCTCTCTGCACCTCAGTTTCTTTATCTGTAAAATAGGTGACCTCTAAGATCCCCTCTAGTTCTAAATCTCTGTTCTGATGGTAAGACCAAGGTCAATTGGTCAGGATGAAAAAGTGGGCTCACACAGGTGCAGTTACTTCAGCAGAGGACTCTGGGTATCTGAGACCCATCATCAGGCAACAGGATCATCAGATCAACTTTTGGACCCTCAAGGGGTATTAACTTGTGTGAGGCACGATTCTTAATCATTGGTGGCATCCATATCAGAAGGGGCAGCACAGAAGACTGGGGCCGTACAGTAGGAGATCTATACCCTCAGGTTCCATTCTAGGGTCATCATAATTTAGGGCTCAACCTTCTCTTGCTTAGAGTAAGTCATAGGATCATGGGATGTGGAGCAGCATGGGATTTGGACTTAGAGTTCATCCAGTCCAACACCTTCTTTTAAAAAAGAAAAATTATGTATTTATTTATTTTTAGTTTTCAACTTTCACTTTTATAAGATTTTGAGTTCTAAATTCCCCCCCCTTCTCTCCCCCTTCCCCAAGATGACATGCAATTTGATGTAGGTTATACATATGCAATGATATTAAACATATTTCCACAGTAGTCAGGTTGCCAATACTTTCTTTTTAAAGGTAGGAGAATAGAGGCCTATCAAAGTGAAATGATTCAGCCAAGGTCAAACATGGGATTTGAACCTAAGTCCATTGACTTCAAATCCACTGCTGCCTATATACCAACCTTCCTCCCGTTTTCCAAGAAGCAGGCAAGAGGCCTAATAGTTACATGGGTTATCTGGCATTTTATACATCAAAACAAAAGGACATTTGATGAAATCTGTCATTTTTCACATTGTACTGTTGTTAAGAAACAAAGAGAAAGAAAGAAGGAAAGAAAGAAAGAAAGAAAGAAAGAAAGAAAAGAAAGAAAGAAAGAAAGAAAGAAAGAAAGAAAGAAAGAAAGAAAAAGAAAGAAAGAAAAGAAGAAAAATCCATCAACCATAGACTCAGGGTAATGGAATCATGAGCAATGCACCAGAATTGAGCTCATAAAGGCCAAACCAGGCCAGACCAGCTGAATTGCTTGGTGTAAGAGGAGGAGGGGAGAGGAGGGCTAGAAGAGGAGTAATCACTCTGGCTTCATAAGGGAAGAGAATGGAGCCTCTTCATGTAATGAAGCTAGAGAATCATAAAAAAAACTGGGCGCTGCGGCTCAGCAATTCAACTCAAATCGCCTTGGCAATGAACCACCTGGGCAGAGCCCCTGACCAAAGGGCCACGGACAAAAGGCAAGGTGATCGGAAACTCAGCCCATCGGGGGGAGATGTCGACTGCTCCGCCACAGGGAATTAGGGCAGCTATTACTTTGATATCTCTCCTGGTCATTAGTGAAGATGTTAAGAGTACATTAAGAAAATTGCATCTGATACAAAATTAGGACTTGCTGTAGATGCCGAGCGAGGTGGAAAATAATAACTGAAGAACCAGGCAGAGGTGAAGGCGAGGCGGCGAGACAAACTCCCACTTGGAAAGCCGGGAGCCAATGTGCAGGAAGAAGAGTGGGCAGTGCTGCAGAAAAGGGAGAAAACCTTTTATGTCCAAACAATGGCTTTAATCAAAGCGTGCCCTCATGGATGCTTTCCTTATGACCTCCTTCAGTGGGACTGCATTTAAATTCATCGGTAAACAAGGAGCTCTTACCTATTAAGTTTTGCCAGACGAATTCTGACTTAGCAGATCTGATCCTTGTGCCTTCAATGTGAGGGATGGGTGCCCATGTCTCCTCAGTTGCTAGGGCCCTGCTCCCTAGAATTTAGCTTGCCTCTGTGTTTTGTATTTCATTTTCTAGGTACGTGTTTTCCTCCCATAATTGAAGTAATGTAATATAAGCTCCTTGAGGGCAGGGACTGGTCCCATTTTTCTGTCTTTGTATTTCCAGATCCTAAAACAAGATCTGAAACTTTTTTTAAGAATTGGATCTGTGATTTCATTGGGATAGAGTACTCCCTGGCAGGGCAGCTACATGGCACAGTTGGATAGAGTACCAGACCTGGAGTCAGGAAGACAAGTTCAAATTCAGCCTCAGATACTTCCTAGCTGTGTGACCCTGGGCAAGTCACTTAACCCTGGTTGTCTCAGTTTCCTCATCTGTAAAATGAGCTAGAGAAGGAAATGGCAAACCACTCCAATATCTCTGCAAAGAAAACCCCAGATCGGGTCACAAAGAGCTGGCTGTGACTGAAATGCTTCAACAACAGTAACAACAACAACTCCCTGATGGGGAATCTCACTCAACCAACGAGGATCAGTCCGTGCTCTACACAAGTCTGAGAGATTAACTAGACACACTGAGAGGGTGGCACAGCCAATATGTGTCTGAGGCAGGACTCGAGCCCAGACCTTTGTGATCCCAACGCAAGTCTTCTATCCACTATCCCATTCTCCTTCTTGCCCCGAACATCGGAGGTATTTAATGAATGCTAATTGAATTGAACTGTGGAATGTGGAAAATCTTCCTTTGAGGAGCAGATGAACGAACTTCTGCAGAGATGCTGAGGAAGCCAGCGTCCAGACAGGATGCTTCAGTGAAAGTGGGGACGTTGGGTGGCCCAGGGCATGGGATCCAGACCTATTGCTGATCAGCATGGTATCAGACAAGCTGCCTGGCAGAATAATAGAATCACAGAGTTCCAAGGTACTTCAGGAGTCATCAAATTCACTTCCTTTCTGACACAAAAACCCTAACAGTAAAAACTAAGAATAACAGCAAGCATTTCTATAACCTTTTAAAGTTTTCAAAGAGATTTACAAATATTAGCTCTTTTGATCCTTGCAATAACCCTGGGGAAAAAAGGCTATTATTATTCCTATTTTATAGATGAGAAAACTGAGGCAGGCAGAGCTGAAGTGACTTGCCAAGGTTCACACAGCTCATGAAGTATCTGAGGTTGTTCTTGAACTCAAATTTTCCTGACTCCAGACCCAGCACTCTAATCACTGCGCCACCTAACTCCCTCCACAAAATATTTCTATGTCCTACATCAAGTGGGCATTTAATAAATGCTTATTGGTGGAATGAATGAATCTCCAACAAGTGTTTATGGAGTGTCTGCTTGAAGACATCCAGTAATGAGGAGCTTCCTACCTCTGAAGGCATGTCACCTTTCCTGATCCCCCATGATGCTAGCGTTGGTTGCGCTTCTAAACTGATTTGCCAGATTGTTTCAGGAAGGTAGCGATGAAACCGAAACTCGCTCAGCCTTGGTTTCCTCATCTGTAAAATGGGGATAATAACAGCCACTACCTCCCAGGCTTGCTGTGAGGATCAAGTGAACAGTAAAGGACCAAGTAAAATCAACTAATAAGAGTCAAAATGGGCTAATAAGGATAGCCAGCGCTTTAAAATTTATGTCATCTCATTTTATCCTCACCACCACCCTCGGAGGGACTTACTATTATTATCCCCATTTTACAGACGAGGAAACTGAGTCACAGAGCGGCTAAGTGACTTGCCCAGGATCACATAGCCGGTCAGTGTTCAAAGCCTCACTTAAATCCAACACACATGCAAGTCAAGACATCACCCTCGTGATGTCATTGATCCTCTTCTGACCAATAACAACAGCCATCTAGCAGTAGTGTTCAATGTGCTACAATGGATTAGATTGTACAGGTCAGTAATTGGCAGAGCGAGGAGGTGATCCCAGGTTCTCCGCCTTCAAATGAGAGAGAGAGAGAGGGACACTTCCTGCTTGACCAGAGTGGAGTCCCAGGTAAGGAGCAGTGTGAGAGAGCACGGGTCGGGCTCTGTGGCTCTTTATCGCAAAGTACAGCGGAGAACCCAGGGCAGGCCTCCGTCGCCACCCCCACCCCTCAATGTCCTCCCTGCCCAGAATTCCGAGTGTGCTTCACCGCCAGAGAGCTCTCGGGCCCAGGGTGTGCACAGGTGCGCTCTATTTGTCCTGTCCGCAGGCTCCCAGTATAAACAGCGCATCAGCGCGTACTGCCCAGCGTGGGTTTATTGAGGCAAACATGGCCAGGTTAAGGTGGCCCCAGGGCTGTATGATCGCAGGGCGCAGAACTCCAATAGAACACATTTCTGCTTTATTTCTTAAACAGATTCAGGAGCACAGGATGAGGCACGGCTCCTGCATGAATGGTTTAAGCTGGTCCTGGAGAAGAATAAATTAATGCGATATGAATCTGAGCTCTTGATCATGTAAGTAAAGAAACACAGACAACAGTGAGGCCGAGGCGGGCTGCGGGGAGGAGGGAGGGCGGTCGCTCCTCCGCTCTGGGCCCCTGTTTTCCCTCCTGATGCATGTACAGCCCTGATTGAGGCAAATTGCCACTTTAGGCTTTGCATATCATATGCCTATTAGTGAGGAGACTCTCCAGTCATCCATTCCCGGGGCTGAGGCTATAGCAGAGAGAGATTCTGCATAGTTATTATAGAGATGGAAAAGCAGGCAGGCTCGCTGAATGGCACCTATAGAGACAGAAACGTGTGGCCTGGCAGTTGGGAGGCCTGAGTTTGGATAGTGGGGTGCCCTGGAGCAAGTCCTGTCCTCATCCCTGGCCCTCTCTGGGTTCTAGCTCCCTCGTCCAGAATAGAAAGGGGATGGTGATATAGGCAAACTCCTTGCTTCACCCGTCCACTTGCAGACCCTTGCTCTGCTATCATCTTTCATCATCCTTCTCTCCTTTTACATTTATACCAACCAATCACACTGTCTGGACTTCAGACAGAGAGAAAGAACATTTTATATTATATACATTATGTTATATATGAGGTATATACAATGTTATATGAGATGTATCATATGTATCATGTGAGATATGTGTGCAAAATAAACATAACACACATGTACATGTGTGTGGATACATATAGGATTGCTTTGTGTACCCCACATGTATGCATATATGCACATGTGTGCATACACACATATACACGCACATACATATACACACATATATACATATATCTGATGTGCCCCCTTCTCTCATCTGACACTGCCACCACGCTGGTACAGGCCTTTGTCACTTTGAGGCTCTTAGTTGATCTTTCTACCATGTCTCTCCCCACTCCAGTCCATCCCCCACTCTGCTTTCAATGAGACCTTCCTAAAGTGCAGGTCTGATCATATCATCCCTCCCCCATTCAAGAAAATCCAGTGGCTCCCTATTAGCTTCAGGATCAAATATCACTCTGTTTGGCTGTTAAAGCCCTCCCTACCCTGGCCCTGTCCTACCTCTCCCCTCTTAGAGTTTTATCTCCACTCACCTACCCCCGTGTACAATCTGTAATCTGGGGACGCTGGATTCCCTGCTATCACTCACACAAGATGCTCTATCTTCCAACCGTCCCCTTTTGCTGGTTGTTCTCTGTGCTCTGGATTTATCTGCCTTCTCTTCTCTACCTCTTGGCTTCCCTGGCTTCTTCCAAGTCTCAGCTAAAATTCCACCTTCTTGCAAAATACCTTTCTCTAGTCCTCCTAAATGCCAGTGTATCCCCCCACCCCCAGCCCTGACTTGGGATTGACTCCAATTGATCTATATCTATGTCTTATCTGTACATATTTGTTTGCAGGCTATCTCCCCCATTAGACTGTGAGCTCTCTGAGGGCAGGCACTCTTTTTGCCTTTTTTATTTCTCTGGTGCTTAATAAATGCTTGATGACTGACTGACTGAAGAGTTCTTAGCCTGAGGGTCTGTGATCTTGGAACTTTTAATATTTTACTAACTGTATTTTGATATAATTGTTTCCTTTTGTAATCATCTGTATTTTATTGTATGTGTTTAAAAATAATATTTCAAGAAGGAATCTGGACACATAACACTTACTAGCTGTGTGACTCTGGGCAAGTCACTTAACCCCAACTGCCTCACAAAAAAAAAAAGGAGTCTATAGGAGTTATTAGATTTCCAAAGTGGCCCACAATGCAAAAAAGGTTAAGAACCCCTGCCATAGGTCCACATAAAAGGAATACTCATGCAATTGGGGGTAGTCCCTGGTAGGGGTCAGGGTGAGAGCAGGCCTTCCCCAGAAACAAGAAATTCTCCCCCATCAAACCTACCAGTCTGCCTGCTGCAATTAAACCTCTGGAGCACAGATGTGCCTGGGGGTTGGTCATAGGCTCAAAGAATCCAATCCGGAAGACTCTTGAGGTCATCTAGTCCAATGTCCTCATTTTATAGATAAGGAAATTGAGGCCCAGAGGGATGGAATTATGAAAACTCCATCAAACCAACATCAAAACATGATCTCGATTTTGGGCTTCCCCCACCAACCTTTGGTTCCTCTTATTCCATACCACCACCCTAGGCATAAGCTACTTCCCCTACCTATTATTTCCTCCCATAGTCTCATTCCCATATGACTTAGCCCTATCCCTCTTTAGTCCCTTGGCCCACCACATTTCCTCTGTTCCCTTTGAAGCCCTTTCCCCATCATTAAGAAATTCCCCTTCATCTTTGATACCTTTTTTTATGAATCTGTATATCCTTTATAAATATTTGTATATCCTTTATATATATTTATATATCCTTTATATATATTTGTATATCCTTTCTATCTTTATATATTCTTTCTATATTCCTTTTTGATATCTTCCTTTCTAACTCTTGGCACCAATGGAAGCCTGGTTTCCTCCCGAGCATCTCACACCTACTACCACCCTCTCCAATGCTCATTCTCTTCTACCACTGCTCTCAGAGGATGGGGCTAGCAAGGGAAGTAGCCATGCTCCTTGCTCCTCCCCACTCCCATCTCTTCCCAACCTTTTTTGATATTCATAACATCTGTTGTGCTTGCCCATCTATTGACTTGACTGGCCATCTATTGTTAACTTGACTCTGTTAACCCTGGCCTCGGTCTCCTTTGCCTTCCAAGATCCCTTTCTACCTTAACCAATGACTTCAGCACTTGGTTTGCATCTTCCACTTCTCCATGTCATCTACCACCCTCCTCAGTAGCTTTAAAAGTCCTTTGTGAGGCTTCTTCTAAAAGTCTAAGCTTGTGCGACCTCCATGTCCACCCCACTTTGATAACCCATCTGAGTGGCCACTCGTTGATGAGACCTCACTATTACTTGAAACTGATCCACCTCCTTCACCTTCATCTTCTGTCCTCCTGCTTCTCCCCTACACCTTACTCTCATCAGGTTTTTAGTCTCTTATTTTTCTCTTGGTACAGTATCCCATCACTTTGAAGACTCTATGGGGAGTTATTTAACAAATTTAGCAAAGCTTTTCTTCTTTTTTTTTATTACTGAAACTTAAATGCACAGCAAGAAAAGAAAAAGAAACATATTATATACTTAAATACAAAATAAGAAAAGAACGAAAGTGTGTCATGTGCACAGCAGAACATAAGAGAGGATTCAAGATACATAGTAATAAATTTCCATTTCAAGAAAGCTTATATAATAAATACTACACGTTGTCTTGAGAGCTGTCCATCTTTTCTTTTCTTCCGTGTTAGTTTTCTTTTGTTCCTGCGTGCACTTTTAACTTTGTTCTTTTTTCCCCTTCTCCCCCACCCCAAGAAGGCTACAATTAAGCACTGATATATTTAGATACATGTGTATATATAATATATATATATATATTATATATACACATACACATATATATACCTATATAGACATATATTTTCCCTAACAAATTCTACTGCTGATCTTCATTTTTGTATTTGTGTGTATCTCTTATTTCCTATCCCTCCTAACTCCTCTACTTTATTTCTGCCTGCTGCCTTGCCCTACTATTACTTAACCTACTCCCCTCCAAGGATCCCTCCCTTATCCTCCCATTCCCATAAATCTACAAAGCTTTTCTTCTTAATAAATCTCACACCAGCCCAAGCTTAGCCATTACAAATTCTGAATGAGCTGAGCTAGAATTAATAAGGTTTTATCATCCAGCAATTAAATAAATACTTATCAAGGGTCTATTCTGGGAAGACAATGTGCTATGTGCTGAGGAGGATGTGACATGTATGCAAAGAAGTATCATATGAAGTATTATCTTTATATCTCCCACTTTACGGAGCTGGGGGTGAAGGAGTTGTTTTGTTATCCTGGGAAGTACAAATGTGAGGCTCCGTCTTCAAAACTCCCACCACAGACACTCATTAACCGTGTGGCCTTCGTAAGTAACTTAGTTTCTCTGTGCCTCAGTTGTCTCAACCTTAAAATGAGGGGCTTATGCCACAGGACCTTGAATGGCCCTTCCAGTTCTTAGATCTATGATTTGATAAGGTCATTCCATTTTTCTGAGCTCAATAAATAGGATTTTTTTTTGGTCAGATGGTTGGGCTCCCAACATTAAAGATTGGGTTTGGTCTCTTCTTAGTTGGTCAGACACTCTGGAAACTCCACGTCAAGAGATGCCCGTAGTGAGTGTAGAGGGAGATGGGGAGAGGCCTCTTGCAGAAGGTGGAAGCTGAGTCTTGAGGGAAGCCGGGGAAGTAAGGAAGTAGAGGGAAGAGGGAGAACATTCCAAGCATCAGGGAGGGCCAGGGAAAAGTCTCACGGTTGGAGAAGAGAGGAACCCCAACTGCAACAAGGAGAATAAAGAAGACTGGAAGGGTAGGAAGGAGCAAGGTTATCAACAGCTTTAAATGTCAAACAGGGGACTTCATTTCATCTGAAGGTAATAAGGAACCACTGGAGTTTGTGGAGTAAGGGGCTGACATGGTCAACCTTCCCCTGCCCTTTTAAAATTTGGCTTTATTTTTGTTTTTGGTTCCAAATTCTCTCCCTCCCTTTACCCACTGAGAAGGCAACAAGTAAGATACCCATTATACATACAAAGTCATGCCAAAAATATGTCCACTTTGTTGTTGTTGTTTAGTCATTTCAGTCATATCTGACTCTTTGTGACCCCATTTGGGGTTTTCTTGGCAAAGTTAATGGAGTGGTTTGCCATTTCCTTCTCCAGTTCATTTTACAAATGAGGAAACTGAGGCAAACAGGGTGAAGAGACTTACCCAGGGTCGGGCAGCGAGTAAGTGTCTGAGGCAGGATTTGCCACATTAGCTGTGTCTAAAAAAAAAAGATAAAACAAGAAAAAGAAAGAAAGAGAAAATATATGCTTCAATCTGCATTCTGATTCCATCAGATCTCTCTCTGGAGGTAGAAAGCATTTTTCCTCAAGAAATAGTCATGGATCATTGTATTGATCAATGTAGCTAAGTCTTTCACAGTTAATCTTCCTTACAATTGCCATTACTATATAGATTGTTCTCTTGGTTCTGCTCACTTCACTTTGCATCAGTTCATACTTGCCAGGTTTTTCTGAAACCATCCCCTTCATCATGTCTTACAACCTCAGTTTCCCTTATCTGTAAAATGAGGGGAGTTAGACTGAATGCCTTCTAAGGTTCCTTCTAGCTCTGGTCCTGTAATGGGTAAAATGGGGGTGATAATAATAACTAAGTCAGTGGCTATTTTGAAGACCAAATGAGATACTATGTAAAGGGCTTTGCAAACTTAAGGTACTTTTTGTTAACTCTAATAACTATTTTTATAAACCCAAAATTCCGCTATTACGTTGACACCCCAAAAAAAATTAAAGAAAAAGGAAAAGAACCCATATGTACAAAAAATATTTAGAGCAACTCTTTGTGGTACCAAAAATTGGAAACTGAAGGGGATGCCCATCAATTAGGGAGTGGCTGAACAAGTTATGGTATATGAATGTGATAGAATATTATTACGCTGTAAGACATGATGAAGGGGATGGTTTCAGACAAACCTGGCAAGTATGAACTGATGCAAAGTGAAGTGAGCAGAACCGAGAGAATAGTCTATATAGTAACAGCAAATCAACTGTGAAAGACTTAGCTACTCTGACCAATACAATGATTCACGACTCTTCCAAAAGATGCTACAATTATTATTATTAAACAGCAGAGCTGTAAGTTCTACAGATATTATTATCTTGATCTTATGCACAAGCAAAATTAAAATTCAGAGAGGCTGATTGACAGGTCTGTGGCCACAAGTTAGTAAACATCAGAGGCATGATTGGAACCCAGTTCTAGGAAGAACCACTCTACCTATGCTGCTGACAAGAACCACAGGCCTGATCCTTTTAGTCACACTGGAGATGAGGACCCCAGAGGCATGAGAACGTTCTCTTGGGAAGTTCAGAGACATCAGCTACAGAAGGATGACCAGATACTGTAATTGCATATTAATCTGAGATTATTCAAAATTGTAATCACTAAAATGTATCATCTTTTCCTATTTTGTGATGCTCAGGGCTCAAGAATTAGAACTGGAAGATCACCAAAGCAGGCTGGAGCAGAAGCTAAGAGAAAAAATGTCCATGGAAGGTGAGTTTATGGAGTTATTGTTTAGAACCACATCAAAAGGAAAAGGATGGGGTCTGAGCAGAGAATTCAATTCAATTTAATTCACAAAGCATTTCTTAAGCCCATATTTTGTGCCCAGCACTGTGCTGCTTAGTGCTTAGGGTACAAATCCAAAAATGACCCAATCTCTGTTCTTAGAGAACTTACATTTGGAGCAGGGAGAAGCTGTATTTACAGGCTGAGAGATACAAAATACACCCACGTATAGAAATGCAGAGGAAATCCATGTCATCGTAGGGTTTCCAGAGGTGGGGAACTTGCAGCCTTGTTTGGATTCAGTCAAAGGGCCTAACTTGAGGACCCAAAGGGCCACTTGTGACCTCGAGGCCACTGCCCCTCCACTGGCCACTCCCCCCCTTTATATGCAAACTAATTTGGGGAAGGGGAAGCACAAACAACGTGACAAGGAGAATCAGGAAAGCCCTTCTATAGGGGCTTTAAGGTATCTGAACTGAATCTAGAAGCAGGCTGGGCATTCCCAAAGACAGGTGAGGAGGGAGAGCATCTCACCAAAACAAAAGACAGAGGAGGGGCATGCATGGGAAGAGCAGCAATGGGTCTGTTTGACCAGAATATAGAGTAAATAAGGAGGAATAAAGTAAGATGAGTCTGGAAAGATGATTAGAACCAGATCGTGAAGGGCCTTAAGTGCCAAATAGGTGCATTGATATTTTATCATAGAGTCAATAAGTAGCTGCTAAATCTTCTTGAGGAAGAGAGTGACATGGTCAACCCAGGGCTCGAAGTATGTCTCTCTGGCAATTATGTGGATGGTAGATTGGAGGAGGCAAGGTTGGTAGCAAGGAAACCAATGAGGAGGCTATTCCAAGGGTCCAGATGAAAGGTGACAAAGGGGACAGATGCAAGATGTATTGGGGAAGGGGGATCAGCAAGACTGAGTGGTAACTGATTGGTTAGGACAGTTGAGATGGAATGAAGAATCAGTGAGGTTTTAAAGCTGGTGACCAGAAGGCTGCTGATACTCACCACAAAGATGGGGAAGTTAGAAGGAATGGTTTTTGTTGTTGTTTTTGTTTTGTTTTGTTTTAGGGGAGTGGAGTAGGAATAATGATTTCTGTTTCATATTTGTGGAATTTGAGATACCCCATATGTTGGTTATAAGAGTGACCCAGCAGAGATTGCCAAGCAGTTTCTCAGCCAATCCTCCTGCTCCTTCCTTCACGTAGGAGCCCAGGGAAAGAGTTCAATCAAATGTTGCCTAACTCTACCCTGCCTGGACCCTCCCAGTCCTTATCCATGTGCTTCATCCTGGTGCTTACGGCAATATTTTTACACTAGCCAGAAAGGACTCTCTTAAAAGACCCCTGGGGCAAAGTCCTCAGACTGGCTAAGCCATGGAAAGGAGAGGTCAAGTTTCTCCTGGATCCTTGGGCCAGGATGGTGCTTCCTAGCAGCTTATCTGGGCTCTGTTGATTTCTTTAGGACAATGAAGAGAGGAGCTGTACCCAGGTAACTAGTATAGTCAGGGAGCTGTCCTAGTTCTTGTTGATACTTGTTTATATTCTTTAGTCAGTCAGTTAACAACTATTTAATAAGCATTTATTATGTACCAGGTGTTGTACTAAGCACTGGAGGTACCTGCCCTCAGGGAGCTTTCATTCTTTATCTCTTGGCAATTACTATCTGGGCAGGTAGGTGGTGCCATAGTGCATAGGTGCTGGACTTAGAGTCAGGAAGACTCATCTTTCTGAGTTCAAATCTGGCCCCAGACATTTACTAGCTGTGTGACCCTTGGCAAGTCACTTAACCCTGTTTGCTTCAGTTTCTTACTCTGTAAAATGAACTGGAGAAGAAATGGCAAACCACTCCAGTATCTCTGCCAAGAAAACCCTAAATGGAGTCATGAAGAGTTATACATGACTGAACAATAACCACAACAATTATTATCTAGTGTTAGGAAGAGATAGATTTCACAGTCCTTCCTGAAATCACACTGTGACCACAAATTCACCTGTGTCCACAAATGGATGTGTATGTAGTACAGTGGAAGGTGTGCTGGGTTTGGAGCCAGACTGTGATTTCCAGCCCTGCTACTCACTGCCTTTGTGACCTTGGGAAAATCACTTCTCTAGGACTCAGTTCTTTCATCCATAAAATGAGGGAGTTAGATCTGACGACCTGTAAGATGCCTTATAGCCTTAAATCGCTAAGAAATGGATGAAAAAGTCTTTGCTAAGCAATGCCTATGTTTTGTGCACTGTGGCAAGTGCAGGACATACAGATACAAAAAGCAAGACAAGCCTGCCCTCAGAGAGCTTACAATCTAATTCTGATATGGGGAGATTATATGCAGAAGAGTGGTGTTCAAGGAGAGATCCTATGATCCTGGCTCCCTAGCTGAAGCATCGAGGGCAGAGACCAGACTTCTATAACTCTCACAGAACCTAGCACATTGGTGTTGTTTGTCCTTCCTTCTCAAAGAGGACCATGACGTCGGGGAAGATGATGTCATAACTTGCAAATGAATCGGAGTTAAGTGAGGGAGGGCTGTGCAAAGGCACCAGCCTCACTTTCTCCTCTGGAGCCATCTGGGTCCAGTGCCAGATATAGATCAGGATGACTGGAGACGGTCCCCAATTTCCATTATCATCCTACTAGAGACCTGACTTAGGCCTCTATCTTACCTTTCCCATAGAATCCAGGTCAATGGAAGGAGAGACTTAGCAGAGTGCTCTTACATAGTGAACCTTTAATAAATTCTCATCGAAGGAATGAATGAGTCCCTACTACTCTATATTCCCTAATCAGCAGGCAGGGGTTCTTAGCTTTTCCATGTGTCATAGACCTCTTGGGCAATCAGGTGAAGCCTTTGCACCCCTTCTTAGAATAATATTCTAAGGGCATAGAGGATGACAAAAGAAACCAATCATATTGAAATAGAGCTAGAAAATATTTTTAAAATAAGTTCCCAGACCCTCAGAAGTCTTATCCATGGACCCCAGGTTAAGGGAGCTGCAGACCAGTTCTCAGTGAGAAGGGACCAGTGTGAGGAACAGAGAAAGGGGAATGAAGGAGCAGAAGGAGAATTGAAATCTCTGCATGAAGCAAGCAGGTTGCAAGGAGAGGGAGGAATACGAGAAAAGATGATTTAAACAAGGCAGACCTTGTAACTGAAGGCTTATGGAATGCTGCTCAGATTGCACAGAACTAATGTCAGATTTATATGCCTAGATACTGAGTTTAATTTGCTACAATACAATTTGGTGAGAGACATACTACTAAAAATCACTTAGCCATACTTTATTTTGAATTCCTTACTGAGCATTCATAGCCATACTCTGGTCACATATGGTCCCTGCTTAAATGCGGTAGCTTTTAATTAGTCTGCATTTAAAAAAAAAAAAAAGAAGAAGAAAAAGAAGAAGCTGATTGCAAAGGGAAGGAAGCATGTCTATTGTGACTAGATAGTATCGCCCCTGGTTTTCACCATTCCCTTTGAGGAAAATATCCCATCCTCTTTCATTTTTTACACCCTTCCACACAGCCTCATCTGTACTTGGAGGTTTAAGGGTTTAATTACAAAATTCAAGACAACAAGCATTTCTTAACCATCAGTTTTTACTAGGTACTAGGGATACAAATAAAAAAGTCAGTTAGTAACTAACATTTATTAAGTGCCTACCTTATGCCAGGCACTGGAAAGAGCCCTGGGCATACAAAAATAAACAAAAACCCATCCCTGCTCTCAAAGAATTCACAGCCTAATGGAGGAAACAATATGCAAACACCTATGTGCAGGCAAGATAAAGACAGGATAAATTAGAGGCAATCTCAGAGAGAAGGCACTAAGATTAAGGAGGATTCAGAAAGGCTTCTTGAAGAAGATGGGACTTTAGCTGAGACTTGAAGGAAGCCAGGGAATAGAGGGGGAAGAGCATTCCAGGCTTGGGAAACAGCCTGGGGGCTGGGAGATGGATCATGTGTTCAAGGAACAGCTGGGAGGCCAGTCACTGTCACTAGGAGATAGTTCTTACCCTCAGGGTGCTTACATTCTACTTGGGGGGGAGCAATAAAGAACATATATACTTATTAGTAATGTGCATACATATCATATATGTATATGTGCACACATATACATATATATATTACACATGAAGAAATTTCAGGAACAGGGCAAAACAACTGAGACAATACCATCAGTTATCAATGGGGTGATTGCTTCATGATTTTATATCCATTTTTATTGGAATTGGAACTGCTCAGTGCTCAAGGTAAGGGATATTTCCTCATGTTAATTTCATTTCCTGTTTATTGAGTGACGAAGAGACCCCAGATCAACTACAAAGAACGTAAGTACTAATAAAATAAACGCCCTGGCTGATTTTAACACAGGTGATTTTTCCCCTCTGTTTTTCCTTAGAGAGCGAAAAAGATGAAAAAGTTCGGAATGAGGAACAGGAGATTTTCACCGAGATGATGAAAGTGATTGAACAGAGGGACAAACTAGTGGATTCCTTAGAGGAGCAGAGAGTGAAAGAAAAAGCTGAAGATCAACACTTTGAAAATTTTATGTTATCTCGAGCTTATCAACTCAGCAGATCATGAAGAAACCTGGGTGCATGCATCCCAGCCACTCAGGGCAGCTCAAGGATCTTGGGGGGGTCAGAAAAAGAAAAAGTTGCCTGATGAAACATGTTTGGAGAAATTCTTAGTACCAAAGCTGTAACACTGGTGGGCAAGTAGGGCTATGCCCCGGGGGAGTGAAATTTAGGGGACACAGACTACTACACTTGCAGCCCTTTCAGCAACAAAGGAACAACTGAGCTTAGCATGTAAGGGGAGCTTTTACCTGGCACTGCCCTGCCCCAGGACTGGCATCACAATGTCCTTGGGTCAATACTCCTCCCCATCACATGAACGTTATACTACTGGCTCTGGGAGCAAAAAATGGCTAATTATGACACTCTCTTTCAAGGTCATAAACAGATAAACAGAGAAAAAAATCCAAAGACAGATTTTTTTTTTTAAAGAAGAACAATAGCATGGTAGAGTGGTAAGGTACTAGACTGTATTCTAGGTCCCAGGTTCAAATCATGTCTCTGTTACTTAGTACCTGTATAAATTTGGCCAGTCATCTTTCCAGGACTCAATCCTCACCTATAAATGAAAGAATTGCACTAGATAACCTTTGAGGCTCCTGCTAACTTGAGATCCATGATGCTAATAAGAAGCAGTCTAATCAGGTGTATAACTGCTCTCCCAGATCCTCCCAGAAATTTACAAGGACTATTTTGAAAATGTTGGCCAAGTCACCAGACACTCTGTTGCTCTCTTGGGTTAGTACTGGTGCCTGGAGAATGGACATCATCTTTTGTCCCCATGGAAGTGACGCACACACTTGGGCTTTACTGTTACAATTAAGACTGAGCTTTCTTAATCCTCGGATATCATTGAGAGGGCTCTCTGTGCTTTAGCATTTTAAAGAGACTTTTTTCCCCCATTAATTTATCCATATTTGTTTTTTTTTTTTATGGGTGGACTGTTTTTAAATGTCAGAAGGAAGCTCCACTCCTTTAAAGATTAGATTAATATTTAAATTGGGTTTCTAGAGGAGGAGAAGCCCCTTTGTCCACTGATTACACAAAGCAAACACCCAGTATAGCAGGTGTGAATTCATTCTAGGGTGGGTTTAATTTACCAGGTGTATTTGCAAACCCTAATGTAACGTACACAAGGGATGTACTTTTAATACAACATTTGAGTGCTAATTTTGTCTAAGTCCCAAACTGTTACTTAATACCAGAGGGATTAACAGCTTTGACAAAATGTTATGGGCTTAAAAATGTCTTGCCTTTGGGGAACTCTATTTGGTGGGGTCCAGAACATGAAAAAGCAAGTTGTAGCATGGCTAGGCTTTCCTAATTCATGGTTCTTTGAGGGTTTTATGTGCTGTCCTTGATAGAAAAAAGAGAGAGAGAGAGAGAGAGAAAGAGAAACCCCAATCTTGGGCATCTAAGCTCCAACCTCTGTTTTAGCTGCTGCTAAAATATGACAATACCAGGTCCCAATTAGTGTGAATTAGTGTCCCTTGAAGTGGTCATGTGTATTCCAATTTGCACTATTCAAAATTATAATGATATAAAATTAAGAAATTGATTCCAACCCAATAGAAACATACAAGATGAATTCAAAGAATGAGACCACTTGGGAGCTGTTACTCTCTTTGATTGGTGTCTAGCTCGTGGACTTCCCCACTCCTGCGCTTTCAGGCCCAAGTTCCAGATTTCTGAAGTTTCCGTTAGTGATTGGCATGACACCTGTGACAGTGGATGTGGAAGCCAAAACCTTTGGATCAATCAGAAGAGAATGATGGTTTCCCAGCCCATTCGGGCATCTTCAAAGAACTGTCTGTCACTGACCAGGAAGAAGGTCATTAAATCCTAGGTATCTCCATTGGCTTGGGTTGGCTGAAGGTCTGGTTTTGTTATTAGGTAAAAGGTGCTTCTATTATTGTCACCTAGGACTCAAGAGCTATGTAATTAATTTGACTCATTATAACTTTAAAGTCTGTTAATCTGTGAAACCAATCTCTGTGTCTGTGACTGTCTAAAGCACCATAACAATACCTTTTGTAAAAAAAAAAAAAGGGAAAGCTGTCAGATGGAGAAAGTCCAGCCTTTGTAGGGTGGGCTCTCATTCACTGAAATAGTACATCCATCATCTTGGTATTTATCTAGACACACATATCTCCTCATGCCTTGAGTTTCAATTTAACCATGGGCTGTATGGTCAGGTTCTCAAAATCAAGGCTGTCAATGCCTGGCTTTCTATTATGAGGAGTTAGGCTTGGCCCTTGTTCTGAATGCATAGAGCTGCAAGGTAGCATGCTGGCCTTAGAATCAAAAAAGACCCAGGTTCAAAAAATCAAAAAAGATAGTAGTCAAATCACTTAAACTTTCTGAACCTCAGTTTGCTCATCTATAAAACAGGCCTAATAGTAACAATAGCATTGCTCTCACAGGGTTGTTGTGAGGATCTAATGAGATAGTACATACACAGTGCTTTGCAAACATTAAAATGCTACTACTATTAAAACTTAAAACCACACTAAGACTTTGGGACACCTTGTATACACATTAGCTATTATTGTTATCTACCTACCTATTTATTTGTGTATGAGTTAGTAACAGCTAATAAGACTCTTTTATTACTCTGCTATTTCTATTTTATCATATGGGGGGAGGGGCATGTTCCTATATCAGTACATAAGTTGTTGAGTTGTCCAAGGATTATTGGCAATAGGTTCTTTGTCAATAATTGTTATTTATGTAGCATTTTCAGACTTGCAGAACACTTTGACATTTATTAAGCACCTACTATATGCTAGCCAATGTGTTAAGCACCAAGGACACAAAGAGAGTCAAAGGACAGTCCCTGCCCTCAAGGAGCTTACAGCCTAATAGAGGAGACAACATGCAAACAAATATATACAAATAAGTTATATACAGAATAAATAGGAACTAATTAGAAGTGGGAAGGCACTGGAATAAAGACAGGATGGGAAAGGCTCCCAGAATTTTAGTTGGTACTTAAAGGAAGTCAGGGAAGCTAGAAGGCAGATGCCAGGAGGAAGAACATTCCAGGTTGTGGGGGGTGGGGGGATGGGGGTGGGTAGCAAGACAAAATGACTGGAGCTGAGATACAATGTCTTGTTCAGGAAACAGTAAGGAAGCCAGTGGATCCAAGCGTATATGAATGGATTGTGTTGTCCTTTGTTCTCTACCACAACATCAGGAAGATGACCCATGACTTGCAAGTGAATTGGATTTAAGTGAGGGAGGGCTGTGCAAAGTCACAAGTCTCACATTCTCCTCCAGAGCCGTGAGTGGATGCATGTAAGGTATAAGAAGACTGGAAGTAGGAGGTGGGAGAAGTAGGTTTGAAGGGCTTTGCACACTAAACAGAGAATTTTGTATTTGATGCTGGAGGCAATAGGGAGCCACTGGAGTTTATTAAGTACAGGGTTGACGTGGAAAATTGCATTTGTGTCTGAATGAAGGATGGACTGGAATGGGGAATGGAGAGCTGATAAGGACCTGCACCAGAGGGGTGGCAGAATCAGAGGAGAGAAGGGGGTCCACCAGATGATGCAAAGGTGACATTGACAACAGACTGGATATTGGGAGTGAGAGATAATGAGGAGTCCAGGATAACTCCTAGGTTACGAGCCTCGGAGACTGGGAAGATGGTAGTGTCCTCTGCAGTAATAGAGAAGCTTGGAAGGGAGAGTGCTTCAGGGAAAATATAATAAGTTCAGTTATGAACATGTTGAATTTAAGATTTCTACCAGCCATTCAGTTCAAGATGTATGAAGGGCAATTGGAGATAGACTAGAGGTCAACAGAAAGATTAAGGCTGGATAGGTAAATATGAGAATCATCTTAATAGAAATAAGAATTAAATCCATGGGAGCTGATGAGATCACCCAATGAAGTAGTATAGAAAAGGATGGAAAGGGGGCCCAGGAGAGAACCCTGTGGCACTCCACAGTTAGTGGGAATAGCAAAGGAGACTGAGAAGAAACAGTCATGTAGTAGGAGAACTAGAAGAGAGCAATGTCCCCAAAATCTAGAGAAAGTATCAAGGAGAAGAGGGTGATTGGCAGTGTAAAAGGCTTCCCAGAGAGAGGGGAGAATGAGGATTGGGAAAGGCCATTGGATTTGGCAACTGACCATCATTAGTAACTTTGGAGAAGACAATTCCAGTGGAATGAAGAGGTCGGAAGTCAGATTGTAAGGGGTAAAGAAGAGAGTGAGAGGAGAAAAAGTGGAGGCTCCTGTTGTAGAGGGCCTTTTTGGGAGCCACAAAGGGCATTCCCAACTCTATATCCTCCCAACAACTGAGATATTTGGTGTTGTTGTTCCGTTGTTTCAGTCATGTCCAACTCCTCACGAGCCCATTTGGGGTTTTCTTGGCAGAGATACTGGAGCGGTTTGTCGTTTCCTTCTCCAGCTCATTTTACAGATGAGAAAACTGAAGCAAACAGGGTTAAGTGACTTGCCCAGGGTCACACAGCTAGTAAGTGTCTGAGGCCAGATTTGAATTCAGATCTTTATGATTCCAGACCTGGCATTCTATCCACTGTACCACCTAGCTGCCCCACTAAGATGATATTATCATCATCCAAATTTTACAAATAAAGAAACTAAGGTTCCACGGGTCGCACACCTAATGAGTGCTAAAACTGAGACTGAAACTCACATCTCTTTCAACTCCAGGTTTTTTCCCACTATACAAGGCTATCTCTCCAGAGGATGCTCTTAACATTCAGCCCATTCAGCATTAAGTTCATAGCATCATAGATCTCGATCTGGAAGGGAACCTAAAGGCTACCTAGGCCAACCTCTTCATTTTACAGATGAAGAAACTGGGGTCCAGGGAGATGAAGTGATTTGCCCAAGGTCACACAGGCAGTATCCATCAAAAGTGGGATTTGAACCCAGGTCCTCTGATTTCCAAGCTCTTTTCTACCATACCAAAGTTCCAAGTCTGCCTAGAGATTGAAGTACATGCTTTCTGGCTAATGAGAGAGATATATGTGATTTGTGTGTCCTACATGCATTTGGTTCTTCATCCTGGTATGGGAGATAGAATAATTAATCTACCTACTGAGATGGGCATATATTGAAGAGATTGATGTGAAAATGATTAGTGTTCTTCACTGCTGGGGCTTCTTAAAGAACTATGGCCACTAGGGACACACAGGTTTTGTTAAGAGATGTGAGAGATGTAACACTATCCTTTTCTAGAGCTTCTTATTTGAAGACCCAGCCGTGCATGGCTGGTGGATAGAAACTTTTAAAGTTAAAATTGTAATCTATTTACAATGCATGCTAATTCGGCCGCCATTTAAAACACAGAAGCTGCTTCTGCATTGGCAAAGGGGTGATTAGTGGACTGGAAGCCCAGTAGATCTTAGATTTAGTCCTAGCTCAGCCACTAACTCACTAGTTGCTGTATGGGTATAGTAACTATTCTCTCCACACCTCCCCTTTCTCATCTGTAAAAGGAGGAAGTTGGACTCAGCCCCTTTCCCACTCTAAATTATAAAATTCAAATATTTGCATTGTTGAGGTCTACACATGTTTTCTTTGGGGCTGTTAAGACAGTGCTATCTTTTCAAAATATTTTCATTCATTATTCTTAATGGATAAAGTGGGAAAAAATTTTATTTGGGGCTGAGAAGACAGGAAAATGTTTTTATTTGCTACTCTCAAAGAATGAAACATAAAATGGTTTCTTTGGGACTGTTGAGACAATGAAATCTTTTCAAAATGTTTCCATTCATTACTCTCAATGGATGAAACATTTCCCCTGGGATCATTTACACATAGTACTCTGGGCTTTTAGATTGTTGCACCTGTTGCAAGTAAATCTTCTTTTATCATAGTATGAGTATGCTGTGGCCAAGGAAAGCATTTTCAAGCTTTTTTTTTTTATTTTAATCATCCTACGAAATAATAGTTGCTAGTAGCATCATCAGGACATAGAGGTAACTGAATTAAGAAACCTGGCTCCCGGTCAGATCTTGGATCCAGATTCATGCAGCTTAGGAGTGAAATTAAGGGATTCCAATTAGCAGAAAGGTGGACATATGTCAAATCTCTGCAGGGCTTGGCTTTTGTGGCTACCCTAGTGCCAAGAGGGCCGTTTTCAGGGAAGAGGTGAAGTGGTCCATGGAGCTGGGATCAACTCCTAAGGTCAGCTCTCCCCAATGCTCAGCTCACTTATGTCCTCCTTCCTTCCCAAAAGAACAAAAAGATCAGTTGCCATTTTTCCAGTGAACACCATTCTCTGCTTCTTGTTCACAGGGAACATGTTTCTTTCACACTAAGATGATTTTTTCTCTGCTGTTGGTACATTTCCTTTATGAGGAAAAAAAAAACCAAAACAAGTTTGCATTTTGAGATCAGAAATAAGATAGAGCTATTAAGCTGTGAAACACAACATGTGGTTTTATGGTTTCATTTGGAAGATGGCATTTGGTAATATTAGGATAATTGGAATCAATAAACACTGTCCTAGATGCAGCTACTGCACCACAGAGAGGGTCTGGCAAATAAGGAACGGGTTTGATGTCCCCTGCATTCTGTAGTCAAATGAAGAGTTCTTTCAGCCCGTTTCTTTCCTCTGGGGAAGCAGATTGGCAGGTTTTTGCTTTCAAGTCAAAGATGGATGAATATCCTGCCGGGGTGGTTGATGGCAAAGCTATCTAAATCTGGCCTTCATGAGGTGGGGGTAGCAGAGGGGCAGCTGGGAGCTGCAGGACTGGAAGGAACTGGGGAGATTGGATGCAGTTAATGCCGATTTAGGAATTTATTGTAATAAGAAGCTTCATGTGCATGGGAAAGAGTCCTATTTCATCCCACTGTTGTTGGTTTTTTTTTTCCAGTCAGTGCTACTCAGTGACTTGGGGGAGGCATTAACTCATTCTAAAAGTTGAAGAGGAAAAAGAAATTAGACGAGTTTTCCTTTTAATGCTGAAATGAACCAAAGATGAGCCACGGGAGGACTGAGAGCCCCAATT